CGAACCTGCGGTAGTAGGTTCGGTAGGAAAACTTAGGAGTAAAGCCAGTTTAATTGCGGTAGACTAGGTAACAGCCTAACGAGCCTTATGGTCAGGCCTTGAGGTACTAGTGACGTGGAAAAGGGGAAGAAAACCCTAGATTTTTTCCTTGGTGAGGAAGAAAAAACGTGGAGGCTAGTGGGCTTGGCCTGTGTATTAAGGAGGTGGAGAAAAATAAGGAAAATGAATATTCTCTAGGGAGATTTTCATGGGGTATAAATAGGGAGTTAGGGAGCTCATATTTTACACACCAAAATCATTCTACTCTTCCAGAGCCAAAGGGAAACGCTTAGGAAGGAAGAATCGGAGGAGCTTGAGAAGGAACTCAGCATCCCAGCCCCGCAGTAGAGAAGGTTCACGGTTGAGGTAAGGCGCGATCCGTACCTAACTTTCCTTTCTAGTAGTCATGGGTAGTAGTTGAGGAACTTCGGTCTGGATATGGGATCCAGGCTAGAGACTCGGCAAGAGTAGAGTAGTGGCAGTATTCCACTTGACCACGGTCAAACACGAGAGTGTCTCGTTGATGCATAAGGCCTTATTGATTAAGGAGTTGCGGTATGGGCACAGAGGGTTGCCGCAAACCGTTAGGCTACCGGTCTGGATGCATAAGGCCTTATTGATGGAAAGAGAGCATCGACAAGGCCTCGAGGTGCCTCGATGAGAGTCTCAATCCGGATAGTTGTGCTACATCTCGATGGGTATCGGCATGGCCTCGGGGTGCCTCGATTACCTTTGACAAACCACTAGTACGGGTAAAATGTACCGTACCACGATAGGCAGCATGATCGCATCGTGACAGAGCAGCTTCGGGCTGCGCCAAATTAGGCATCATGTTGCGTCTTGGTGAATCCTCGTACCGTAAGGAAATCGATATAGAGATCGATAGCGCCACGGTGGAGCCATAGTGAATAGACCGATTGTGCCTAAATAGGTATCGGCAGGCACATCGTCAAACACAGGACCGGACCGGCAAGCCAAAGCTTGACCGAAGGTGCAGTGGCAGAGCATCCGGTTGGGTCAGAAAGGATCCAACTAAGAGCTCATAGGTGAAGGCAAGCAAGGAGCTTGGCAAGGTTAGGAACCTTGATAGGATACTTAGTCTATTCACGTTGGGCTATGGGACATGATACATGCGTTGTGAGCTCCGGGTATGGAATTCAACCATAGTCTCGAGGAAACTTGATCGGCCTTGGTAGATCGAGAGTGACTGGTTGCTTGGTGGGTTGAAGGAAAGTTGTGGTTTGTATGGTAGGATAGTTTAGATCAACTCACAATCATATCGTTAGGATTGTTTAGGAAGTGAGTCTTGGCTAAGCTATACCCTACCAAAGGAGCTACCTTAGGCCGAATGAGAAGTTGGTCCAAGAAGTCGAAAGGTAGAAAGACTAACTGATCGTTGAACCTTGGAAATAGAGTTATGGTAGAGCGACCACTCCCAGGAAGTAAGTTCTACCCCGATGGTTCGCTTGTTTGTAGGTTCCGACAGTTTACTAGAGATTGTTGTGAACCAGGCATGAAGCTATTAGGATAATTAAATGGTTATACTTGTACTACCTTAGCTAACCCGACGCATGGTTGTAAGTAAGGTCTAGTGAGAGAAGAGTCAAAAAGGGTTTGACGAACTCGAGTCAGATGGTTTACGGTCAAGGGGATAGAGGACAGACATGAGATCACTTGGACGGTTGTACAAGTTGGTGTCATGAGCTATCCACAGTTAATGGATAATCTTATGTGTTTATTTCTACAGAGACGGCTACCGTGTGGCCATAGATGTGTCATGGATAACATTATGGGATAGCCATGCTTACCTGGGGCCGACCATACGGGGCAAAGGTATTTGTGGAGGTCAAAACCAACTCAATGGAATTTGTCAAGGATTTTTAAGGGAAACGAGATCTCTGGGAAAGAATCACAAGAACAATCAAGAACAAAGATCAAAACACAAAAGTAGCGTTAAGAAAGCTTTATTGATTTTGTGCTAAGTGTTTCTGCGTAAAGCTGCGGATCCCTTTCTCAAGGGGAATACAAAAGCATATATACAACTCTAAAGTCGGCTAGGGTTTTTTACTAAGTAAATCAGGAAGAGTTCCTTATTTTTCGGGATTTTCATTTATCGTAGTCGGCGTTGGACATGGTCTCGTCGTGTTGGGCTTGACTTTGCCATCTCGTCGACTTGGACTTACGGTCCTTGGCCCACGACTGCGTAACAGGCCAAATGGGCTAAACTAAGCCATATTCGGCCCATTACCTAACTCTTCAGGATAACATCGTCGGCGAGCTGCCGAGCACTCCTGGTGGCGACGTCGGCCGTCTAGTAGTCGACGAGGCAATGGTCGGCAAGTCAGCAGTTGGCGAGGCAGTAGTCGGTGAGGAGAGACGTCGGCACAGAAGATGTCGGGAAGGCAGCGGTTGGCAGAAGGCATCAGTGTTAGGAGAAATGAGTCATTCTGGCAAGTTGCCCAGGTCTCTAGAGTGAACTCGGCACTATCTCATTTCTGTCAGTTTCCATACTTAGCCATTTTAAAGAGAATAACCGTCAGAGGGAGTTTTGACCCCAACAGTATTGTTTGAAATGCTCCTGCTACTATTTGAGAACGTAGAAGAATGGATTAGGTGAAAATGGAGTAGAGAAGTATTGTGAACCTTAGGAAAGTCTAGAGTAGAATGCATATTAACCGATAGGATAGTAGGTTCACAAGGCCACCTATACATTATTGCATAGGGGCGGTTGTATGGCCAGCCGTCGTCGACTTGTTTGTGTTTGGCCTGAAAAAGTGGCACGAAGACCTGGTAGACAAGAACTACCAGAAGGGCTCTGGGAGTCAATGGAGGTTTGCCCTACGGAGAAGAATATGTTGTGGAAATTCTGTCGACGGGCAGAATATAAGGATCGGGCATGTTTGGAGGGGAACAAAGTTCCACCGTCTTGTGTTGAATAGTGGAATCCAGGACTCCCATATATATATGTATATTATGTAAAGTATAAGGTTCGGGCAAGACAGGAAGAGGAATGGGATTCCTCCGCCTTGTGTTGAATAAAAGAGTCTGAGACTCTCGTATATGAGTACCAAAGGAAGTATGGTCACACTTACTTAGCTATTTGGTAAACGCAGGGTGCCGAGGCATCATATGGTTCTAGTGTGGTAAAGGGTAGATCGGTTATGTTAGGTCGTGAGACGGAGTAGACCGTCTTACTGAGTATTCAATACTCACCCCCTTACCATACTTGCAGGATAGGAGATCCGGTTTGGTGGCTCATAAGATGCGGCAAGGCAGGAGGAAGCGACAGATGCAGTAGAGGCTATCCTAAGGCGTGGTAGTTTTAGAGTTCCCGCATTGTAATTTCACCGCATAATATAAGAAAGAAATTTTAGAGTAATGAGATAACTAATTTGGCAACATTTTGCGGTGGGATTCATAGTCCCTGATGTGGGTGTTACAGAATGCATGTCTCTATTATCAACCTACGCACAAGATTCAGGTAAACGAGGTGTCTAGCCAACAAGACACCATCTAAACAAGATGAATGAGTATGAATGCATAGATTCAACAAGCCAAGCTCAAAAGAAAAAAAAAATAGGCAACATCAACAGTCTGCGGGAATTCGACTCATCAATCCCCGGGACCCAACTCACAGTGATCGGCTCGAAGAGATGTGGACTTAAGGCGGCTACGGATCCTTCCTGAGACTCGGTGAACCTGATGCTAAGGATAAACTATCTTAGCTATGGATCTCAACAGAACGGGTAAGTCGGACCTAAGCAAAAATCAAAGGAAACTAGATCTTACCAGAGAAACGAGTCGAGAATCTTTCACGACCAACGGGAAAAATCAAGAATTTTGCTAAGAAGTGATTCTAGAGTGAAAAGGGCAGAGCAAGGGTAGGAAAAACAGAAATGGGTGAGGAAGTAAGGGTTGGAGCTCTATTTATAGAGAAAAATCTCGGATTCCCTTGGTTTGGCCGAACTGCCGCATGACTGCCATGTGGTGGGTAATTTCTGTGCGCGGGGGTCGTTGGACGCTACCCAAGCGTGTGTTAGACGCAATAGACTGAGCCAAACGTTATTAGTGGCCCGTGTCAGACACGACAGACTGTGCCAATTGTTACCCACGGCCCGTGTCAAACACGACAGACTGTGTCAGACGCAACAGACTGAGCCAATCGTTACCCGCGGCCTGTGTCAGACGCGACAGATTGCGTCAGACGCTAACGGGGAACATGTGGCAGAGCTGAATTGCACACTAGCCCGCACACTAGCCCGCGCCCAGCGTGACTCCCACGCGCACTACCGCGGTACTGAAAATCCTTCCCTGCGTCCTGATTGATCCGCCCTCGACCCGCGTCCAACAACACATACCCACGGACCGCACAATCCTACCCGTGGTGCGAGCTGGCCGCGGTGAAATTTCTCGATCCAAACTCACTTTCTCTCGGCATAGCTTAGATTTTCCTCGACCTAATTCTATTCTAAGGCTCACTTAGTCTAGACTAGCCCATTTTCCCGAAACCCAAAATTTAAAAAACTCAAGGCCTATGGCACTTCCGGGGTTATAACACCTTTGTCATTTTATAATTCGTTTATATTTTTTGTGATAAAT